TGAGAGCCAGTGCCCGGAACTGAAGGAGGGAGGAAATTCATTGCTTCCTTACATGACTGGATCTCTGTGAAGTGGGTCGTGATTTGAACTCATCAGCTGTTGGTGTGGTTGCTCCTCAGCAGCAGGCCTGGTTCTGTTCCCCGGGGCCTTTTCTGTCCCTGCCATCTTGCTCTCTTGACAGACAGGCTGGGACAGGCTGCCTCCTGGGTTTGGGGTTAATGTAGAGCTTGAGGCTGAAGTTACCGGAAGGGTGGACGTGCTGCTCTGCCAGTTCTGCTCTCCTGACCTGCAGCGTTGCCTGTTACACTGGTCAGACCAGCAGGGCCATCCTTGGCTCTCACGGTGCCTCTTACCTGAGTGAGTTCCCTTTGGTTGTGCTGCTGCTGAGTTTAGTCTTTGGTATTTGAATGCCAGGGCTTTCAAGGCACTGGCTTGAGCTGGGAGTGAGCCAAGGAAGCTAGATGGTGAGCACTCTCAGTTGGCCGGACTTGTCTTAATAAACTGTTCTCACTTGTTCAGCTCCAGCTGTCCTTCCTCCCGCAGCCCCTGGTACTGCACCTCCTGTCGAAGCGCCAGGTATTCTGAATCCCTCCTCTGTAACACCTCGTGTGCCTCACTAACAATAGTTTGCTGTTCTGGATGGCTGCAGTTACATTAACCCTAACACTTTGCAAGGGGGAGCGCGGATCACTGTGGGAGGCAGGACACCAGGGTCCTGCCCCTGCTCTGCTGCTGGCTCAGTGTGGGTGAGTCACGCCATTTCTCTGTGCCTCGGTTTCCTCATCAGCGAAGGAGCATCTGCCTCACAGGAGGGTTTGCATGTGTAACGCACCAGGGATGAAGGGAAAGGGGCTGCCTTCTGTCAGTCAGCACGTGCCTGCAAAGAGCACTCCTGGAACCGTTAAGCACTCAGTTGTGTTAAATTTGATAACGTTTCCTTCCTGTTCTTGGGTGGTGATCCGTCGTCCCTGCTGCGTCTGCCAGCCTGGGCTGCAACTTCCCAGGTTTTGGGGAGCAGCGTTGGCAGTTTGGCTGGGCCCCAAGGGCTCCGTGCCCAAGGGAAGGGTGATGCAACCCCTTTAGCAGGGAAGTGCCATGCACAGAGCTGACCGTGAAGCCTGTCCATGCACCTGCCCCGTTGCGTTCCTGCTGTGCCCAGCCTGTTGGGGCCTCCTCGCTCTTCAGATGCCACCTCTTTGTACGCAGGGGTTCTGAGCGTGGCTGCACTGGAGGGAGGAAGTTTTGGGTGGCGTTACTGATTCTGTTTCTTTATCTCTAAGAGGGCACTTGTACCCCATCAGCTCATATGCAAGCATGCTGGCACAATATACTCTGTACAATCAGTTCCAATTTCTAAAAGCAAGTCAACATCAGTGTGCTTTGGGCCTGGTATCTCAGGCAGGGTTTTATCTGCTGCTCTAGAAGCTGGGCACAAAGGCTTTGGCTGGAAGGCCAGCTGCCCCGTTGGTTTCCAGCACGCTGCTGTAGATAGAGCTGTCTGCATTCCAGATCTTTCCCTGAGCCAAGGATTATTTCCCTGGGTTTATGGGCTGGAGAGCATGTTGGAGCAGAGTGCTTCACCTGTGTGATGGGAAGACAGTGACTCTTAGTCCTTGAGAGCCCTCAGGGCCCATGTGCATGGGAGGGCTCAGCCAGGAGAGTGCAGGTGTCTGTGCGTATGAAACGCCTCTCTCTCATCACTGTCCTGGGGCTGGGGGCGTGGGGAGTGTTTGCAGAGTGCCCCGGTGTGCCATGTGCAGTGGCCTGGTGGGCTCCGGGTCAGGATGGGGCCAGAGGATCAGAGGAGGCATTCGGTGCGGGTGTCCTTTGCAATAACTCTCGCCTTTCTCCTTTCCTCCCCTTGGTTTCTTTTTCTCATCAGTTCGCTTTGTTTCTCTCCTTTAGCTGTTCTTCATGCTGCTCATTCCCCAACTCTGACTCCGTCTCCGTCCCCCGCCGCTGCCGCAGGCCCTGGTGGCCTGGCTCCCTCAGCTGGGCAGCCCAGCCCTGCCGCAGCCATGCCTGGCCCTGCCTGCCCTCCTGCTCCCCTTTCCCCACCTGTGGTCCCAGCTGCAGTGATGCCTGTGTTTTCTGTTCCCCCACAGCTCCCTGCCCCAGCTCCTCAGGTCCCAGTTACTTCTTCCCCTTCCCCTCCTCCACAGTCCCCGGCCAGTTTTGCAGCCCCAGGATCTCCAGGGCCTGCTGCTGTCCCAGTTACCTCAGCAGCCCCAGGACTCCCAGCCCCAGTGTCTCCTGCTGCAGCTGCTCCTCCTGCCCTGGTGACACCAGCTCCCCTCACCAGCCCTCCTGGGACTGCGGTTTCCTCTGTAAGCCCTGGCTCTCCCCCAGCAGCTCTCCCTTCTGTGAAAGCTGCTCCGTTTGCTGCCCCTCTGAGCCTCACTGGAGCTGCTGCCCAGGCCCCTCTCCCTGCTCCCTCCTCAGCATCTGCCAGCAGCCCAGGGGCTGCCCCAGCTGCTCTCTCGGGAACCCCTTCCTGTCCCTTTGAGGCACCGTCCACAGCAACATCTCCCCCGGCAGCAGGTCCCGTTTTTCTGCCAGCTTCAGCTCTTCCTGAGGCCATGGTTTGTCCTCAGAGCCCGGGCTCTCCCCCTGTTGACCCGGCAGTCCCTCTCTGTCCTTTCATGGCACCAGCCGCAATCGCTCCGGTTTGCACCCCTGTAGCGCCGGCCGCTCCTGGGAGCCCTGCCTCTCCCCTGCTGGCTTCCGCTTTGGCCATGGCCTCTCCCCAGGCCCCAAGCCCTGACTCTCCCCTGCCTTCTCTCATTGCTCCCAAGTGCCCAGCTCTGGCAGGTGCCTTCTCTCCGCCTGCTTTCCTGGCATCCCCCGTGGTGCTGGTCCCTTCATCACCCCCGGCCCCTTTGATACCAGCTGGAATGTCTCCGGGGAGCCCTGCTGCTGCCCCACAGGGGCCAGCCCCTGGCACTCCAGTTGTCCCTTCTGTGGCCCAGATTTGTCCTGTGGACCCTGCCTCTCCCCTGGCAGCCCCAGCTGCTGCCCCTGTTGCTGATGCAACACCAGCTGTGGGAGCCCCAGTCCCTCCCTCCTGGACACCTCCTGGGAGCCCAGACCCTCAGGCAGTACCTGCTGCCTCATCTGCCCCAGGGAAACCAGCTCTGGAGAGTCCTTTCTCCCTGCCAGCAGCTCCTCTGGCTGCTGTCCCATCTGCTCCCTCAGCCCCTGCCACCTCCTTGCCTGTCACACCAGCAAGGGCGGCTCCAGCCGCCCCTCCCGCAGCCAAATCACCTCCTGAGAGCCCTGTGACTGCCCTTGCTGCCCCTCCAGCAGGCACATCACCTCCCGAGAGCCCTGTGACTGCCCTTGCTGCCCCTCCAGCAGGCACATCACCTCCCGAGAGCCCTGTGACTGCCCTTGCTGCCCCTCCAGCAGGCACATCACCTCCCGAGAGCCCTGTGACTGCCCTTGCTGCCCCTCCAGCAGGCACATCACCTCCCGAGAGCCCTGTGACTGCCCTTGCTGCCCCTCCAGCAGGCACATCACCTCCCGAGAGCCCTGTGACTGCCCTTGCTGCCCCTCCAGCAGGCACATCACCTCCCGAGAGCCCTGTGACTGCCCTTGCTGCCCCTCCAGCAGGCACATCACCTCCCGAGAGCCCTGTGACTGCCCTTGCTGCCCCTCCAGCAGGCACATCACCTCCCGAGAGCCCTGTGACTGCCCTTGCTGCCCCTCCAGCAGGCACATCACCTCCCGAGAGCCCTGTGACTGCCCTTGCTGCCCCTCCAGCAGGCACATCACCTCCCGAGAGCCCTGTGACTGCCCTTGCTGCCCCTCCAGCAGGCACATCACCTCCCGAGAGCCCTGTGACTGCCCTTGCTGCCCCTCCAGCAGGCACATCACCTCCCGAGAGCCCTGTGACTGCCCTTGCTGCCCCTCCAGCAGGCACATCACCTCCCGAGAGCCCTGTGACTGCCCTTGCTGCCCCTCCAGCAGGCACATCACCTCCCGAGAGCCCTGTGACTGCCCTTGCTGCCCCTCCAGCAGGCACATCACCTCCCGAGAGCCCTGTGACTGCCCTTGCTGCCCCTCCAGCAGGCACATCACCTCCCGAGAGCCCTGTGACTGCCCTTGCTGCCCCTCCAGCAGGCACATCACCTCCCGAGAGCCCTGTGACTGCCCTTGCTGCCCCTCCAGCAGGCACATCACCTCCCGAGAGCCCTGTGACTGCCCTTGCTGCCCCTCCAGCAGGCACATCACCTCCCGAGAGCCCTGTGACTGCCCTTGCTGCCCCTCCAGCAGGCACATCACCTCCCGAGAGCCCTGTGACTGCCCTTGCTGCCCCTCCAGCAGGCACATCACCTCCCGAGAGCCCTGTGACTGCCCTTGCTGCCCCTCCAGCAGGCACATCACCTCCCGAGAGCCCTGTGACTGCCCTTGCTGCCCCTCCAGCAGGCACATCACCTCCCGAGAGCCCTGTGACTGCCCTTGCTGCCCCTCCAGCAGGCACATCACCTCCCGAGAGCCCTGTGACTGCCCTTGCTGCCCCTCCAGCAGGCACATCACCTCCCGAGAGCCCTGTGACTGCCCTTGCTGCCCCTCCAGCAGGCACATCACCTCCCGAGAGCCCTGTGACTGCCCTTGCTGCCCCTCCAGCAGGCACATCACCTCCCGAGAGCCCTGTGACTGCCCTTGCTGCCCCTCCAGCAGGCACATCACCTCCCGAGAGCCCTGTGACTGCCCTTGCTGCCCCTCCAGCAGGCACATCACCTCCCGAGAGCCCTGTGACTGCCCTTGCTGCCCCTCCAGCAGGCACATCACCTCCCGAGAGCCCTGTGACTGCCCTTGCTGCCCCTCCAGCAGGCACATCACCTCCCGAGAGCCCTGTGACTGCCCTTGCTGCCCCTCCAGCAGGCACATCACCTCCCGAGAGCCCTGTGACTGCCCTTGCTGCCCCTCCAGCAGGCACATCACCTCCCGAGAGCCCTGTGACTGCCCTTGCTGCCCCTCCAGCAGGCACATCACCTCCCGAGAGCCCTGTGGCTGCTCCTGCTGCCCCTGCAGCCTGCCCTGCTGTCAGCCCTGCTCCCCAGAAACCATCTGCCAAGCTTCCTGCCTCTGCCCCTGGGGGTAACCTCACCCCACCCACCTCCTCTGCGCCTGCCACTTCCCCCAATAAAAAGCAACCTCCTTCTGCTAAGCTCTCCAAGCCGGCTCCACGTGCCCCCCCATCCAAACCTCCGTCAAAAGGCCCAGCCCCTGTCTGTGCTGCTGACGACGACGATGACCTGCCACCTCTGATCCCCCCAGAGGTGCCTGCTGTCGAACCGCCTTTGCAGCCCATCCTGGTGGACCTCTCACCCAGAGCGGCTGTGGCCCCCGCTGAGGCCCCAGCTCCTCCAGCTAAGCAGCCTGTGCTGAAGAATGACAAGGGTATTTGCCTGCTCAGTGTGCTGTGTGCATGGAGTGTCACTGGCTGCCCACCGGATACTAACACAGACGGGGACTCCGACTGCCCCTACGTCGCTTGGTGTGTCAATCTAGATGAGCTGTCTTTAGAAATGCTGCGCGGTGTAGGTAGGCCTGAACCATGCCAGGCTGCGCCGAGCCTGCCTGAGCAGTCGTCAAGTTTAGAGGTGGGGGAGCGGGGAGGGGTTGCCTGCCAGGCCTGCAGTCATGCGATCGGGCAGGTCAGGGCTCGCTGCATGGTCCAGTGCCAGCAGGTGCGAGTTGGTGTCACTAACAGCGTGTTCTTGGGCACAGAGCACAGTGTGGCTTGTGGTGCGGGTGTTGCAACCGTTGTCTGAACTGTCTTTACGCTGAAGCTCCGATCAGAGCCGCCATGTGCATATGCCCCCTTGTACGTGCCTGGCACCCACCACGGTTTTACTTTCCCCTCCTCCCTGTGTGGTATGTTGGGGACATGTCGCTGCGTGGAGGTGTCCAGAGCGCTCAGGTGCACTGTGGTCACGTGGAGCTGCTGGTGCGCACGCTGGCTCTGCCGAGGCCTGGTGTCTGCTGGCTCCCCTGGGAGTCAGTCAGCAGAAGGGCAGATGTGGGCAGTGCTGGTGTCGAAACGGGTCCCTGCACTCCAGGAGAAACACGTTTGCCTATGTGAGCTGTTTGGATTCCCCCAGACTCACACTAACAGCCTGCAGAGAGAGCTTTGCTAAGGGCTCTGTGTTCGCTCAGCGCGACCAGGGGCGCAAAGGCCTGGGCTGAGAGAAGGAAATGGAACTGAATTCAGGTAATAGCTGCACAAGAGAAGGTATCGTGTTCATCTGCCGGCCTGCTCTGAGAGCTGAAGAGAGCCCCAGTTGTGCTACTTTCGCTCCTGTGCGGTTGGACACCGGCTTCCAGCGGGTGCTGTGTTTCACAAGCTGACCACGGCCTCTGCAGCAGAGAGGCGCAGGAGCTGGCAGCCCTCTGAGCCGTCCTAGGCTTGTGGCAGGGTTCGGGCCCTGGCACAGATGCCAGCTTGAGCATCCAAAGATGCTGTTTCCTGATAGGGGCTTCCAAGGTAATTACAAATCATCCCCTTTTAATAAAGTCCCTGATAGGCTTGGCTCTGCACAGCAGCCCCGAGAACTCAAGGTGAATTGGATCTCATTTCCGTGCTGCACGTCTGAGCTCCTGCAGTCCTGAGTTTCGCTGCTGTCTAAACAGGTTTGAGCAGAATTAAGGGAGTGTCATTCTTTGGCCTCCGCAGGAGTCCCTGTCAGTGCAGGGCTCGTGCTGACTCACTGCCCTGCGGGGTGCTGCCACGCTGCTCGTGCTTGTTACTCGAGCTGGGCCTGCGATGCTGGCCAGCACATTACTTTCAGTGAGGGGAGCGGCTCTGGCTCAGGCTGCGTTTTGGGGACTCCAGTGACTCACCAGCGAGTGCTGGCATTCCCAAGCAAGCCTCTGGGCGCCTGCAGTGCTCTGACAACAGCCCCACAGGAGCGCAGCCTGGCCTGGCACAGGTCAGCTGCTGGGACAGGCGGGCGCAAGGCCTCACCCGCGCTGGCCTGGAGGCCAGGCCCCTTCCTTGCTGCTGCAGGGGCGCTTCCATCATGGTGAGAGTGCCTGGAAAAGGCAATGCTCTTGTGCTACTGGCTGGCTCATTATTTGGGACTGCAGGGAGAGCTCCTTCTGCCAGGTATTGCTTAAACATACTGACTCGAAATTCATTTCAGGTGGAATTCTAATATTTTTAAATACAGGGAACACTTTGACAATTAAGTTTCTGCAATTTGACAGGCTGGTGATTGCATAGAGTTTATTCTCTAGGGCTTTCGAGTATGTTTCACAAAGTGTGTTGTTCCTTGAGAGTGTTCCTATGTTCCTGCTTGAGTTAACTGTGTCAGCACCACCCTCCCCCCCCCCCCCAATTACACCAAAACAGTTTGGTTCTTTGATTTTGCTGTGCCCTGGGGATTTACCTGCCTCTCCTTGCAAGGTCCTAAGCTGAAAAGAGTGACATGTTTGTTTCGATAGGGTCCGGAACAGAATCTGACAGCGATGAATCTGTACCAGAACTCGAAGAACAAGACTCTACACAGGCCACAACACAGCAGGCGCAGGTAGGGGCAGTGGGCACAGGCCAGCCGCGCAGGGGAGCGTGTCAGGACAGCCATGCTCACCTCCCGCTCTCTGGGAGTGCAACTCCCCAAGCTCAGCAGTGGATTTTGGTGGGCATAACGTGTGCAGGGGGATGCCCTTCTGGGAAATTGCTCCTCAGAATCACCTGAGGGTCCCTCAGGCCACCCCCATCTTGAGTAGCTCACACCAGGGAATGGTGGTTGGAGAGCCTTCACAGAAAGGACTATTCTTCTATTTCTATTTTTCCTTGCCTCGCTGTTGGTCAGAGAACAGGTCCCATTGGTCTCCCTGTGCCCAGCAGTGGCCAAAGCAGGATCCCCTCAGATGCTGTCATCTGCTACATGCATCACCTGCTCAGAGCTGTCTAAGGGCCCTCTTGTTTTCTGTCCTTGCAGCTTGCAGCAGCAGCTGAAATAGATGAAGAACCCGTTAGCAAAGCAAAACAGAGTCGGAGTGAAAAGAAAGCACGAAAGGTAAGATGGGATGGGAAAGGGACCAAATCCATATACAGCCAACAGCCTGCCCATGGATGAGCTGAGCTTTACTTCAGAATGTGGCACAGTATCTCTTGAGTGCTTGGGAGTTCATCTGATGAACCCTGCTCAGGATTGCTCCTCCTCATGCCCTACCCTTGTACTATAGCAGCAGGGCTTTCTGGAGCTGAGAAATGATGGTGTGATTTTCTGTCTTGGTCAGGCCCCCAGGCAGGGGAATGCCCCCCTTCCACGGGAAAAAAATCCTTGTGCCTGGAGTGGCTCGAGGTCATGCTGTGGATCTGTGCCAGTGCTGGGAATAGAAAGTTCCCTCCCGGGCACTCAGCAGTGTCAGTCTAAAAGCCTTTGAATGCTTGTCTGCAGCAGTAAAATGCACATTTTCATTCACATGAGCGCACCAATTGTTGGACCCTGATCTCCAGAGAGCAGATGAGCATGCGCATCTTGTCCTGGGCTGGGCCGTCTCACTAACTTTTCTTTCTCTCATTCTTTTTTCTCTCTTTTTTTTTTTTTTTTTAAGGCAATGTCTAAACTGGGCCTTCGCCAGGTCACAGGAGTAACCAGAGTCACCATTCGGAAATCTAAGAACATCCTCTTTGTCATCACAAAGCCAGACGTGTACAAGAGCCCAGCGTCAGACACCTACATCGTCTTCGGCGAAGCGAAGGTGTGTTGACTCTACGTCGTGCCTGGCAGCCATGTTAATCTGTATTCACAGCAGCGGGGTGGCAGCTCTGAGGTAGCAGGGTTCATCCTTGTCACCTGCAAACACTGGCTGCAACTGGCTGGATCCCTGCTGCTGCGCATGCCCCTAGAGAGGTGTGGGCAGGCCCCAGCCTTCACTGACGGCTGGCTTCCCAGCTCGGTTGTGCAACAGAGCTATTTAATGTGCTGGCACCTCAGCAGAGTGAGGAACACAGCTGTGACTGTCTGAGCCTGTGTGCTGACATCCCACTCTGCGTAGGGCTGGCCTCACTTGTGCTGCTTCTCTTCCCCAGATCGAGGACCTGTCCCAGCAGGCCCAGCTGGCAGCTGCCGAAAAGTTCAAAGTGCAAGGAGAAGCTGTTTCAAACATCCAGGAAAACACACAGACCCCCACCGTGCAGGAGGAGAGCGAGGAGGAAGAGGTATGCCTTCCCCAGGCTGTCTGCAGCGAGGCAGGGTGCTTTGTTTGGGAATTGAACCAAAATGCGAAACCCGGCCACTGAGCTGAAGGGCCTCATTGTGTTAATGCGCATTCATGCTAAGTGGAGCGTGCTGCTCCGAGGGGTTCTCCCTCCCCGCGGTGTGCCGCGCCACGCCACGCCGCCTGCCTGGCAGCCCTGGCCAGGGTGGGGGTTCCCAGGCTGTAACCTCGGTGTGGTCATTTGTCTGCTTGACCCGTGTATCGCCTCGGCCTGGGCTGGAGGTGGTCCAGAGAGCTCTAAAGAGCAGGAGCTGGATTCACCCTCCACCAGGGCAGTTCCCTACCAGGCTGTTGTGCTCTGCCTTTGCTGCATGGATCGTAGCTCTGCTCTCCGAAGACCCTTCCTCCCCTGCCTGTTGCTTTTGCTCTTACAGGATTGCCGTATCAGCTACTCTTTCTGCCCGAGCCCCCTTCCCTGCCACTCTGTGTCACATCTAGAGCTTTGCGTTATGACACATGCTTTTCTTTCCCGCCTCTGAATGTTTGGCTTGATGACAAAAGGAAGTGCAGGGTCCTTCCCCTGGAGGACCTGGTCCCATTCGCTATCAGAAGACTGTCTACAGGGCTAGATAGCGCCCAGTCTTGCATCCCAGCTTCTGTCTTTGGCTTGACTGGGAGCTGCCCCAATCCAGACAATTCCGTTTTTCTTTGCTGGGCATGGAGCAGGCCGTGTGTTCAGCTGGAGACAATCCTGGTCTCTGTCTCCTCAGGTTGACGAAACCGGCGTTGAGGTGAAAGATATTGAGCTGGTCATGTCCCAGGCGAACGTGTCCCGAGCAAAGGCAGTCCGTGCCCTGAAGAACAACAGTAACGATATTGTAAATGCTATAATGGTAAGTGCCTGCCTGCAGTGGCATTTCCAGCCAGTCAAGCGAGCCTTGAGCCTGGGAAGACCCATAGCGGTTAGAAATGAAACTTCCCTGTGGAGGAGACATGTGGTGCTTGTTTCTCTGTTGCTGCAAGTAGGGGATGAATTTGGGGGTCACGTGATGCAAAGTGGAGGGACTTTGTTTCCTTCCGTCTGCACCCCATGTATCTGTTTGGGATATCAGGTACCTCCACACTCTGGCACAGTAGCTTGCTCCCAGCTGGAAGGCCAGGAAGCGAAATGACCTGTCCCGGGCCTTGCTGGGCAGACGAGCCGCAGAGGCTTGTCTTCCCTAAGGAGTACTCCACGTGTCCGGAGCCAGGCTTCTGTGCCGGTGGGCAAGGCTGGATCCTAACAGGTCTTTCTCTTTGCAGGAATTGACGATGTAGCCGTCAGGAGGGAGGAGCCTTTTTTGGTGTTTCAGAGAAGAGTAAAATGCAACTACATTTAAAATTTGTACTATTTCTATCAATTAATAAAAGTTGTGGCTTATTGTTGGTGAAACATTTTTTGTTCTTTTTTGGCTTTGCTGCCTTTCCCTCCCTGGTAGCTGAGGCCCCAGGGTGGAGCCTTCATCCTGGGAAGATCTCAAAACCTGATATTCTCTGTCCTGTTACACCGTAGAGGAAGAACACCTGCTCGTTCCCTCATTTCCTTCCTGTCGCCAAAGGTCGGCTGGCTGGGAGCCCCAGGAAGGCCAGCCAAGGCCTCCGACTTCAACGTGTGCCTGGGACGCTGATCTTAGCACAGACCGTCTCCCTCTGAAGCTAGCGGGAGGTCTCAAATCTACAGGTGAGACGTCTGCTGAAGGGTGTCGCATCACCCAGGAGCGTTCCGGACGGTGCTCTTCTGTGAGAGCGCAGCTGTGATGCTCCCAGTAGCGAGTCTCTATCTCAGCCCAGGAAACCACAATGGTTTTAAAGAAAAAGAAATGATCTGCAGAATAGTGAAAAGGGGGTTCTTCTCATTTAATTCAGTGCAGCCATGGGACAGGGATGGATTAGTTTATCTCGTCATGTCTTCCAGCCTGATTTGAGAGAAGGTCAAGACTCATCCAGGTTCTTGAACCCAGAGCTTTGCAACAGCTAGAGGTGCCCAGAAGTCATGGGAGATGGCTGCTTTGGCGCTGACAGCTTCCCTTTCTTCCCTCTGCTGCCGTAGACCTGTCTTCCTTGGCAGCGGCTCCTTACCGACCGCCTTGCTGTGCCGCCCACCCCAGCAGAGATGATTGCCTGCCCACGTTGTTGGTTGTTCGCGTTCACAGCGCGTTGCCCGATGGCATCAGCCAGGCTGGGGCCCTGGTGGGCCGAGCGTCAACAAACAATAAGTCCTACCGTTTTTGAAGTGCCACTTTGCTGGAATTTGAGTGGTACAGCACAGCAGAGCAGTAGAAGGGGCTGAGCTTTGATTGTTTTTTCTCCCGCTCTCCAGGCCTGCAGGGAAGGCTGTGCTTACCCAGAAAGTTGTTTGCGTGCAGAGGGAGTCTTTCAGCACTCGACGGGTGGGAAGCGAGCTGACATTTACCCACCTAAAGCCCCAAGTCTCATGAAATGCAGAGGCTGAGCTGTGAAAATGGGCATCTTGCTGCCACTTAGCAGCATTTCTTTCTCCCTTGTGCAGTAAAATCTGGGCCTTGGAACAGCTCATTAAAGCTGATTGGCGACCTCACCGTACGGGCAGCCAGCACGAAGCCCCAGATGAAATAAGCAGGAGGTTCGTTAGCCAGAAGCCCTTCGTTACCCTTCCGTGCGGTTCCCCGGTGCCTGAACGCTGGCGAATATCG